CACTCCTTTACATCAAATGCTTGTTTCCAGGTAATAGTTGTTGCATCGGCTAGGAAAGCGAGGTGTGCTTGTTCACCAAAATCTACAACGTCACTGTCAGCAAATACTTCATAATCAACTAGCCTTGAGGAAGGAAATCTCATCCTTTGTGATCTTCTGTTGTTGACCTCATCACGTATCTCAGCCTGTTCAACACCAGGAATGCTATCTTCCAGCCAGGTATGAGCTATTGCAGATTCTTACTTGCCTCAGTTTCAAGTTTCTTATCTGTCTCAGCCTTCCTCCATTCGAACGTGGCACCTTTGCCCACAATCACATCTCTACTGATCATTGTTACCAATAAGGAGTATTGGTAAATCTTGAAGAAATTTGTTTTGATGATGCTACAAGAAGTTTTAGTTGAAGAAGATATTAGAATTAGTTAAAAGCAAGTTGTAGAAATTAAATGTAGTAGGAAATTCTTGTAAACCTTGTAAAACTTGCATTTTTAACCTGCAATAATCGATTATGATTAAGCAATAATCGATTATCACAAGTCATACTTGAATAATCGATTATCACTTCATATAATCGATTATCACATCTTTGAAAACCTGTAACGAACTTGAATAATCGATTATCACTTACAATAATCGATTATTCATGGCAGTTGGGAGCTGTCCTTTGGCATTCAGTGTACTTGGCTATATATTTTGATTTGGAGAAATCAGAATGTAACGTTGTTGAACAGAAGCTCTTGCAGAATACTGTTTGTCAGAGGAAGTTCTCAGAAGCTATAGTTCAAGTTCCCTTGCTTGGTCTCGTGAACAGGAGAGGCTCGCGTGTCGTGTGTCGATAGTCGGAGCAAGCTCTCTTCGAGTTAGCAAGGTGCTCTGCCTGGTCTCGTGAATAGGAGAAGCTCGTGTTTCGTTTGTCGATAGTCGGAGCGGTTCTCTTCGAGTTGGCAGAGTGTTCTTCTTCCGATTCGTTCGTCGAAGGAAGGTTTATTTATCTGCTTTATTCACTATTTCTTGTAATCTGTTAAATAACTTTTTAGTGAAAAAGGTTAATCACTATTTATAGTGATTAACGACTGGACGTAAATTCTTTTGAATCGAACCAGGATAAAAATTGCTTGTGTGATTTTCTATTCCCTACACTCTTTATCTTTTACGCATATCAACTGTTTGATAAATTTTCTCTAAGAAAATTGTTTTTCTAAAACGGACCATTAAACTTGATTTGTGACCGTAACACGCTTTCCGAATATTTTATTCCGCTGCGCGACTCTATAACGGTACCGATTGTTCCAACAATCACAACTTGTTTCTTCTCAAGGCTGTACAGCTTATAAGCGCATGTGGGGTGATAACCGATGAAGATAAAAATTTCGCTTTTATCATCCAACTTCTTCGTTCTTGCGTTTGAAATGTGTTTGTAACACACTAAGCCAAAGATTTTGAGATGATTTACAGATGGTTTAATACTTGACTAGGCTTCTTCTGGTGTGCAGTTCTCCAAAGCTCTCGTTGGACTTCTATTCAGTAGATATGCTCCTTGCGTCTTACAAGAATCTTGTCAGCCCCTTCAGCCATGATTACACTATTGTCAGCAAACATCACACTGCTTCTGATATTCGGATCCAGGTTTATCAACCATTCTTTCTTGCCCGTCATATGGTTGGAACAACCTGTATCTAAATACCAACAATTATCTTTTATTGCATGGCTCGCATTGTTAGACATCAACACATGTTCCACCTTTTGACATTTGTCTTGTGTAAGAAAATCGTTCTTACACCTATTTAGATCATGCACTTCGTCCTCGCATTCGTTCTTACTTAGACTCCACCGCAGCTCTTCTTTGTCATGGTCAACTTACTCATTAGAAGGACGTGATCAAAATCAGATTCGTACGTGTCTTGCGCAAGATTAGCCTCATCATCTTTGCTCTTATTAGCAGCTCCATTGTGCCAACAATCAGAAGAATAATTCCTGAATTTACTGCGGGTATAACACTGGATGTTTCTCTTATCAATGTTCTTTCTTCCTCTTCCTCTCGTTTGTTTTCCACCTATCTTGCTTCCATCTCTGTGCTCGCTATAATCTTCTTCGACACTCTGATCATAGACATCACATTTCTGCCTCCGGTTCGACCTCCCCGTGATCGGCCTCTACCTCTTCCAGCTCCTCGTCCTCTGGGTTTGTAATTACTTCTGGTTTGTAAGGCTTGATTCGAACCCTGACTCACCTCTTTTTCAGCATTTCTTCTTTCGATCAGTCTCTATTCATGTGCCTCTAGAGAGTTATGTAGTTCTTCGACTCTCATATTCTCAAGAACTTTACATTCTTCTATGGCTACGACTATATGATCATACTGTGGGGTTAACGTTCTGAGTATTTTCTCCACAATTTTCTTATCTTTCACGACCTTGTCAGAGGCTCTCATGGCGTTCACCACTACTTGGATCCTTCCGATGTACTCAACGACTGATTCTTGCTCTCCCATGCTTAGGAGTTCATACTGTCTCCGAAGAGATTACAATCTGATCTTCTTGACTTTTCCAGAATTGCCATAGCCTTCTTGCAGGATATCCCAAACCTCCTTCACCGTAATAGCTTTCGAGACTTTCTGGAAAATGGCAGCTGACACACACTAGTGCAACAGCATTCGAGCCTTGCAGTCCAACCTTTTATTCTCCTTGTGTTGTCTCTTTGCTTCTTCTGAATCTCCCTTCAACGGTTCTTTGAAGCCTTTCTTGACTATCTTGTCCACTTCTTGAAAGCCAAGAATCGCGTCCACTTTTACACACCAATCATCGAACCCCTTGTTGTCAAACACAGGCAGATTGCTATGAATCACACCAACCATCTCTTCTTGATCGTCTTTAGCTCAACCACCAGGTTTCAAAACCTTGCTCTTGATACCACTATTGAAGCGCAGCGTGTAAACAGAGGTGCAACGGGTATATGGGAGTTATGCAGAGAAAGGAATGTTAATACAGAGAGTAATGGATAACAACAGAGAAAGATAATTCTCATTAACAAAAAATGAATGAATACAAGGTATATGTAATAGTGTATCAACACGTGAACTAACTGTTAAAGACAATTAAAGTAGTTTTAGTTTACAACAATGGTAGATACAAAGATTTACAAAGGATTCTTCTTGTTTAGAAATTAGAGATAATGATCAAATGTCAAGGATAGAATTTGCAAAAGAAAGAAGTGTTTGCTTGACTTTTACACATAACACAAGAAGACATTATGATAAACTATTTACTAGTATAAGAAGGGAGATTAAGAATTTTTCCTATGAAAATAGATAATTACATTTAAAATTTTTCTTAATTTTTTATTTGTTTAATAGGTAGAGATGAGAACGAATTGGGTCGAACATAGATAATGTCTACTCGCTATATGATTTGTAACAAAAAAATTAGTTCGTTATCCATATGTTACTTGCACATATACTCGTTTAAAAAATACTAATGAATATTTTAAAACCCACGAGTGTTGATACTCGTAAATATTTAAAAAATATATTTTATAAATTTTTAAAATAAAATTAAAAAAAAAATATAAAATATAATATAAATGAAATTAAATATAAATGAAAATATAATTTTGATTAAATTTAACCTAATAAAATATAAATTAATTTTAATTTCAAGTAAATTTAAATTAATAAATATAAATTTAATTTTTATATTTATTTTTTATAAGTAACAAATATATACATATATGAGTAATACAATACTTTTAAGTATTAAAATATTCATTATCTATAATTAATAAATATCAAATAAGTATTAAAATATTCATTATCTACAATTAATAAATATCTTATCTGTGACACGTATTTTTTGTCATCATATTTATTTTGTCACCCTAAATCATCATTTTTTTTTGTCATCCTAAATCTAGGTGTGGATGTGCTTAGAATAGATATATAAACTTCTATCCCTTATTAGATATTTGTTGCAGATGTTTTCGTTTTATTTGAGAAATTTTGGAAAGTAGTTAATTATTGACTTGAAATTTATAGAAAAACTTTGGAAAGATTTTTCTCTTCAAATAGGAGTAAGATAGAGTATAGACATTTATATGTTAGCATGAGAAAAATATGATTTGGAAATTAACAAGAGAATATGTTACTCGTACATTTAAGTTTAAATATCGGAATTAATAAATAGTACAAAAATTATTAAGAATGTCACACATACGATATCAGCATAGAAGAAAAGGTATTGAAATTATTTCTGATCACAAAATACTAAAGAAACTGACAGATTTGGTCTTATTTTATGCATCCAATATATACTTTATGATAATAAATGCCATGCTTTAAATAGATATGAGAAAAAAAGTGAAAGTAATATGATGAAATGTTAAACTTATGTTATTACATGAGATGGGAGACAAAATTATTGTTTACTAGGAGATATAGTTGTGACATTAACTTAAATTATATATAAAAAAAATATTATATTATATGATTTTTACTTTTGTGAAGAGATAAAGGTAAAATGTACATGAGAAGTAGTAAAAAAATCTTATGAGTGTACCATACTTAATAATTTTAGTCAAATATTTAAGTTTACATGCTGCCACAACACTAATGCACATTCTATATTGTAAATATGTAAAAACCACAATTCGTCTTTTTCTTCTTTTATTCTTTCTTTTTGTTAGCAAACACATATAGAGAAACTCATGCAATAAAAATCAATCACATCTCTAGGATACCCCATTCATCTTTTTCATATATAAAGACATTCTTTGAAGATTGATAAATTGTACACATGAGACCCACACAACTTCATGCATGTTTAACATTGAGTGGAACATTGGGTAGTACCTACTAAAAAGCTACAACATGTAAATATTGTAGCAGATAACAACAAAACTATAAGAAACTGGCATTTTGAACATAACAGCCAATCATTAAACATTTAGTAGATCTGAAAACTATGCAGTCAAATCTGTTCCAAGAACACCTTTGAGATTAGATCTATACAGGAAGTTGCAGTGTACTCCAAAAGTTCCATGTCAAGTCTAAGAGTATACACTCAGTTGAGACAGGAGGCAGAAATAGATGCAAAAAAGGATTAGATTGAGATCTGGTTTCCCTTCAATCAGTTACAACATCCACCCCTTGCAGAAACAGTTCCATCTCTGCCTCCTGATTGACCTTGGGGACGTCCATAGCCAACTTTTATACCAGATGACTGCAACAATAGATTCATTGGTGATCTAGCCAAAACGGGCAGCTAAGGATGCATGGAAAGTTCCATTTTATGTTATATGTTGTTTGTTACAAGAAAGAAGAAAAAGCAACAATGCTTCATTTCTATATTTAACTCATTTTGGTGAAACCAACCATCATCAGAGCAACCTAGATCTCAGATGATACAGTGGTAATTAGCAAATGAAATGAAAATGTCAATTTCTTATACCCTATTATGACAATAAAATGATGAAAACATCCATTCTTAAGAAACCATCCACCTCTTTTTGCACGGAACATAATAGATATTTACCTCATTCGACACATCAAAGACACCTTCCTGAATATTCTGAAGAATCTTTGCAGCAGTCCTTATAAAAGCCTGCAGAATGAGCAGTAAGTGGCTTTCCATGGTTAATAAATTTCACAAAATATTCTTGAGGTAGCAAAGCATAGTGCTACATCTCGGTTGATATTGATTGAGATGCATCACCTCTTCCACATTTTGAGCAGTCCTAGCAGAAGCCTCCAAAAACAGAAGTCCATTTTCTTTTGCAAACTGCTCCCCCTCCTCTTTGCTCACTGCTCTTCGATGAGACAGGTCACACTTGTTCCCTACGAGCATGATGCTCATGTTAGGATTGGCATGCTGCCGGGCATCTTCCAGCCAACTAGCTAAATGATTAAATGTGTCTCTCCTGATCAACAAAAAGAGTCTTTTGGTTTTCAGTTGAAGGGACTTTGAGAAAAGAACAAACCTCATACTCAACCCCCACCACCCACCAGAGATACGAGAAAGAAAAAAATGAAAGGGGGAAAATAATCATTGGGCATTATACTTATTTGATTATATGAAACAAAAAGTGTACACTGTTTGGGAGCCACAATGGAAGCAACAAGGGATACATACCAGCACTGCACATGTGGTTCAAACATTAAACTTTAATAATAAAATAAGACATTAATGTTTACTTCAAAAGAATTGAAACCATCAGTGACAAAAGAGAAGGTAACAGTATAGCTACAGTTAGCCACAAAAACTTCAATAGTTTTTAGAATGAAATTGGGTTCAATTATGCTGCATTTTACTTCTATTGCATTCCTAGCACTCATGAAAGTGGTAAATAAATACCACAACAAAGGTGGTATGTTGTTCAATATAATTCTAAAGAAATGCAAACCGTGAACTCTATGTCAAATTGTAAATAGCACAACCCACCTTGTAATGTCATAAACTAGAAGTGCTCCGGCTGCTCCTCTATAGTAAGATCTTGTGATGGATCTAAAGGACTCTTGCCCAGCCTACAGTAAAACAAGTTCTGCATAAGTACCTAAATATTGTTGAAAACAGCATCCTTGTTTAGACATGACAAAATATATTAAAAAAGAATTCCATCTTCAACACTACTAAGACTTTTTAATCTTTTTAAGATCCTACCGATACACGATGTTGTGGATCAAAGGAAGTAATGAAACCATTCATTACGCGCGACATCAATTTGGTTTCACCATGCAATGCCAATCAATGTAATTCAAGGCTTAGCCTTACAACAAACTAAATCACAGACAAATGGGTCAATTTTATATACTAAATTGGCCTCGACCAGACATAATTTCAGTAATCAGTCATTGCAAGGTTCAATAACTACGAACTTCAAGGACTACCTTATATAAATCAATGAAAAACAGAAAGAAATTAAGTAGCACCACAGATAAAGAACATTAAGAACCTGAGACATAAATAATAGATTGTGTTGGATATATCTGCATGAACAAGTTCAACTATAGATTTGCAATCCTAATTTAAAAAGTAAACAGACTTATTTTGTTTGGGCTTGCGTTTCCAGAATTGATTCTGTAACACCAATAATGATTAAAATTGATTTTGAAATTTCGAGATTTATATTTGAGCTATTTACTTTCTAAAAAACTATGCAAAATTCGCAACAAAATTTTCTATGCAACCCAAAAGTTACTTAATGTGCCTTTGGTTTCACCTTGAACTTTCCAGAATCACATAGAAACGATAAACTTTGGCATGTTCAGTTCTACGTTTTATAGGTCCAAAATTTACTGAGTTTAAGCAACTTTAAGTAGCTTTCGCGTCAGAATAAAAACTGTATATTATTTTCTTCTAGCTTGCTTTTATGATAAAAACATCTGAACAATATCGCATCACTTAAAAACCAATTCTAAAAGAAGAAAAAACAAACATTTCCATCTAAAATCAAACTTAAAACATGCGTAAACTTGTTTCAACTCAAAGTCAAATCTAAACCCAGAACCAAAGTCTTAAAGTTTCACCTATTCTAGGTATCTAGCATTGAATATAATGTTGGATGATCCTGCATGAAGACCATACATGCCACAAAAAACCAAACATCAAACAAATTAAACAGTGATCACAACTATTTTACTTAGTGTTCTAGCAGATACACATACCCTTGATCAATTCTCACCAAATTTGAAATACCTATCTAACAAATAGTAATTAAAAAAAAAACACAATTAAGCAACAGATTTTTACTTTAAAAAAAAGTAAAATAGAGGAAGAGATAGAAAGGGAGAGAGGGTGAACTGACAGTTCCCATATCTGAAGCTTGATGGGTCGAGAATCAATTGTGACCATGCGAGCGCCAAACTCAACACCAATGGTGAGATCATGAACAGGTTGGAACCTCTTATCAGTGAATTGGAGGAGCAGACACGATTTCCCTACACCTGCACGGCACCGGAGAAAAACCCAAACTTGAAGTGAGATTCGGAGACCCAATTGCGAGAAGAAAAGGAAAGAGGGAACAGAAGAACCTAACCTGTGTCGCCGATGATGATGTACTTGAATAGGTAGTCGTACGACATCGCTGAACCTCTGAAGCGACGCCGTTTGAAAAAAGCAAAACAGAGAAAAGAACAAAATTAGGAGCTTAGGTGGGTTGGAGAATAAGAAGGACGAAGAAGGAGAAGAGAGTGCTGCACGTGAGGAAAAAATGGTGGGTTTTGATTCCCACCAAATTCAAGAAGTTACGTATTTGTATCACTTGTTTCCTTTAAATGCGTCTTGATATCATTTATAATTGTCGTTTCTTTTTAATTATATTTTTTAGAATTTGTTTTTCGGAGATGTTTTATGTCTGTTAATGAGATTTAGTATTTCTTTTCTTTTCTTTTACTTTATATTTTTAGTATTGTTTTTGTTAGTTGTCTTGTGGCTTTTAATGAGAATTTTTGGGCGTACGGCTTTTCTAACGAGTTTTTTATATATTTTTTTTGTTAAATTTTTAAAATATTTGATATTAGTATGCTATAATAGTTTTTTAATATATTTTAAAATATTAAAACTAATGTTTATGAAAATATTTTTAAAATATAATAAAAAATTCAATAAAAAAGTAAATTCATTTTTTTTAATTCACGACTATTTTTATGACTTATTAATACTGTTAAATATATTTTTTTTTTTTCTTTTCAATTCTTTTCACGGACAAAATTATGATTTGGTTATTTTATTTTTAAAAAATAATAAATTTAGTACTTCCTTTTCAATTACATTAAATTTTGTTTAATGTAAGAAACAATGTACGTTTGTCGTGTGTTGAATTATTTTTTTACAGAAATTAAATTCTTTTAATTGAAAAATCGAATGTTTTAATAATATTACAAAATTTTGACTAGTTAAATGGAAAAGCTTCTACGAGCTTCTGAAATTGAAATGGATTGGTGTTTGACATTGTAGTGGGGATTGTGATGTTCTTATCTAACCAAGTATATCTTGGAAACTGGTTGAGAACATTTCAAACGTTTTAAGCCTTTCAATTTTAAGAGTCTCTATTCTTCTCACACTATTTGTCACATTTCCCAATCAAGCAAGGGGTTATACTTATAGAAGATATTTTAACATTTAAGTTAGTCAAGTACGTCAAAATGTAATTAATGTTGTAATAAATGAACATAATTAATTTATCTCATATTTTGTGTTATTTATACTATATTTATGGTTTTTATAATTACGTTTATTAGTCTGTGGTTAATTCATCTACTTAATCATGCTTTAATTACCACCTTATGTAGGCTTTCCATATGTTGACTCTTCCTCGTCAACATATAGTCGATCATACCATGCTATGGGTTGTGGTCAGAGCTTGAGGGTTGATTACTCTTGAATGTATGTGGTTAATATGCTCTTATATATCTCATGCCTTGGTGAACATCATATTTTGGCCATGCCGTTCCTCTCGCTGTTTCAGACATTATGTTTGGGACATCGTACATTTACCAAGATGTCCTTTGACATATATGGTACTTAGCTCTCATGCTCGATAATGTTGGTAGTTGAGTCTTCGTGTTGTTAGTATGTTATCATTTGTTTGTGCAAAGAAAATTTGTATTTCTTTAGTTTGTCCTACATGTATAGTAGCCCTCTAGCCTTGAAAAGCGTAACGACAAAGAGATTGTAAGTATGATGAGTCAGATCTAATCAGACATGGAAGATGTAAGGTTGTCAGGTTGCACAGGAAACAAGGCAATGTTGGAAAGGTGAAAAGTCGTGATCCTTAACCCTTAAATTATGGAGAGATCTAATGGTTGAGGACAAGGGATTAGAAGGTGAAAGGTTGCGAAGTTTTGCTATAAATAGGGGCTCATTTGCCTCAGTTGAGCACCAAATTTTTGAGAATTGTCTTTGTTATCGATATTTTATGGAAAAATTTCATAACTCGAGAGCCAATTAGTAATAGGTATGTCACATAGTGGGTCGAATATGGTTCCAAGGAGGAGACGAATAATGATAGTAGTCAGACTTCGATGTCCTTCGATGCATCATCGTCTAAGGCTTTGGGGGTGGAAATAAAGGTGATTACTATGAATATGAAGGATCTTTTTGAGGAGCATATCGAGTTCAAACTACCTTGAAGAAGGTTTTACAAGTGTTGTAAATCCCTTAGTAAGGGGTTGTTTTTTCCAAATTTAGTTGTTAAAGAATATTGAACTCTTGGTTGAATAATATATATATATATATATATATGTGTGTGTGTGTGTGTGTGTGTGTGTGTGTGTGTGTGTGTGTTGTGTGTGTGTGTGTGTGTTGTGTGTGTGTGTGTGTGTGTGTTTGAGAGTGGGGACAAAGAATATAGTGTCCTTTAGGAGGGTAAGTGTCATAGATAATATTTATCATGACCAAAAGGGGTACGGTGATGGCAAATCCCCTAGCCATGGTCAAACACTTTCAAAAAGAATGAAAGTTATCCTTGAAGATGGTATTAATTCTACCTTGTGGACCACCTTTGGAGCTATCATTGAGCATAACTTGAAGAGTAGTGTAGGTTGTTTAGCCATTGTATTTGACCATGTAGTGTAGGTTTGCTTAATGCTTTTATTATGGCTTAACTAGCATAAGATTTTTCTTAAGTTAGACATCAAAACCAAGTGTCATGTGTCATGCTTCCATTGGAGAGGATTTGCTTTTAGAAGTGGTCACATGACACTCTGATTGCTTTATGAGTGACCACTTGTCCTTCCACCATTGGAGAGGATTTGGACACTTGTCTCCATCCTAGAAGGCCTCCAATCCAAGCCTTGACCTTTAGGGTTTCCTTTTGCTTTTAGGGTATAAAAGACACCTTTACCTAGAGCAATCCTAAAGGCCCCTCTAGTGATCTTCCTCCTTGAGTTGGGCTCACCTCTCTTGGAGCCACCAAAAACTACATCACCACCACCATATCTCCTAGAGGCCATGAGCTTCTACACCATCCACATCTTAGCTCATCATCCTTGGACCATTTACCCACAACATTTTCACACCATCCATCCAAGGAAATACCCCCCTCATGCATATCTCCTAGCTTTTGCCCAACCTAACATAAAGAGGTTGTTATCATATGAGGAGGAATTTTTCTACAACTTCACATTCAATACCTTTCGATGAGTTAACAATCAGTGTTCTTCGTCTTCTAAATGTTGCGCCAACACAATTTCATCCAAACAGTTAGGGTTTCCTTTAGGACCTTAGATTAATATGTTGAGCCATTTATTTATCCCCTTCACTTGAATGTTTCTTTCATCTTTACCTTACTCGACCAAGGGATTTGATTACCTAATTGTCTCTAGTAAGTAGGTTGAGTACTTGATTGCTTGGGGTACATTCCTAATCATTTAAAAAGTTCAAGAACGAGTTCTTTAATCATATTTTTATGATGAAAATAATAACTTGAAATTTTTCTTTCATTAGACAGTTAACCCCTTTAGGTATAAGGAGTGATACAATTTAAATACCAGATAATAACACGATTGTTCCATATGATCAATCCTATATAGGAAGAAGACGCTCCGCGTTTGAGTTTGAAAGACAACGCAAATTTAAAACAAAAATAAATGCAGAATCTAATAGGTTAATTATCAATGAAGATTTTTTCACAAAAAGTTCATTTGTTAGCAATATGGAGATTTTTATGGGGTTATAGGTTTAACATGGCATAATATGTTGCGAAGATGGGAAGGATGAACGGGGGGGGGGGGAGATGTTTGAGAAGTTGAGGAACTCAAATGGCAAATAGTGCAAAGAAGGATGGTGAGGCCTAAGTGCCTACCTTAAAGGGCTTAGTGGTGGATACACATCGACCCTAAAAAGACACAAAGAGGAATGTGCCTCTAAAGCTATAAGGCGTTGACATGGATGGAAAAAAGTTGAGGGTTAAGCTCCTTGCCCAAGCTGGAAGTTCTAGTTTTGGGTCAAGGCTATTGACTTGGGTGGTTTGGAGATCCCCTTCACTGACATGCATAGAGACATTTAAATAAGCTTAAGGGATAGTAAACTGAAGGTGGTGGAGGAGATTGAACCAACCACCCTTATAGTGGCACTATTAGAATTTCAAAGTCTATCACTAGTGCTCGACCACAGGTAGCTAATTCATTGTAGAAGGAAATGGTCGACAAGAAGAAGAACAAGATGGCCAATATGTAGAATAATAATGAAACTAACAAACACGCATGGACTGAAGATAAAAAGGCCCTTAAAGAGAGAGAAACAATAATGAAGTCTTGGAAACCAAGGTGCCTCACTCTAAAAAGAAGTTAAAGAATGAAAAAGGATTTATAAAAGGAAAATACGATTTGAAAAAAGGTGGTTACTACAGAGCAAGAGCCTGACAAGAGAGGAGGTCAATTTGGTCAAGCTATAGAAGTACATAATATTTAAGCATACTAATGGCTTCAATAAAACGCTTAGGTAGGTCGACGTGGACAAGGACATCTTTAAAGGTCGTACAATGGACGTGGATGATGTAATGATGCTAAGCGACTTATAAGATGAACCATGACTAAGATTTGTTGTTGAAATGCATCTGATTGAAAAGACTACTAGGGTAAGCCCTTGTGCTATTGCCGACCCATTAATGAGGATGAAGAGATGCAAACCTTGATGTTGTAGTTGAAAATAGGTTGCATAAGTTGTTTCTTATTTTAGTTTGTTTTATGTTATGATTGAATATATTAAGGTTATGACTTATACTAATTTGTCTGCTAGGAACCAATATGAATGAATATCACCTTTTGCGAATAACTATATTTCTTTCTTGCTTTTTATAAGTCACAATTTTTTCTAAGTTATAAATGTATAGGCCAATTATGTGATCGACTACAAATTGTTTAAAAGGTTCAACTATGATCGTTTGAGTTAACAATAAGAAACTGTATTATACCCGGCAATCGACCGACTGTCAGACAAACTAATCAGGAAAGGTAAATGTCATTAATGACCAATTAATATGTTTAATGGCCATATTAAGGACGAATATACGGTTTTATGAGTGATTGACAGATTATATTGTCCAAAAATATACTGCATTAATGGTTAATCAATGAACTTGGTTGCCACAAGTCTTATAAATATACAATTGGTATCCAGGTACAAATATCTTTTTCTATCCTAATAAAATATGACCTCCTTATGAAACATATCTGACTTGAGCGTCGGAGTGTCTTCTGCAAGTCAACAAACCATCGGAGTGGATCGC